TCTCTCCTACTTACTAAAACTACCCCCCGAGAGCGGTCGAGAGCGCAGGGCCCTGTTCGTACCCTGCAATCGGAGAGGTCGGCTGTCTGGAAGTATTGCAGCGCTTCGTTGAAGGAGATCAGGGGTGCAGCACTGGCTGACATCCCCCCCAGCCCTGCACGGAGGCAAAGAATGGGGTTAGAGCCCCCCAGAACGAGCCCTGCCCCTCTGCTCCAGCTTCCCAGCACCAAAATGAGTTCCACCTCATGCCAGAGCAGCCGTTTCGGCACAGGGAGCTTGCTCCCAGCTTCTAGCACAGCAGGAGGGTGAAGACTTGGGGAACAACAGGAAGGCAACGAGCCTCCTGCCCTCTCTATCTTCCTCCAGACGCTCGGCCGTTTCCCCAGCTCTCTCCCACCCCCAAATAATGCCCCCAGCTGCACATCCACCCACTCCTGCCCACTGGGACCCATGTCCCTCGCCCTGCCCAGACCTTTTCTGTCCAGCTCTGTAACAACCCCCCCCTATCCCCGGCACCAGCTGTACCTGACTGGATCTCTTCCACAGCCTCCCATTCCTCCTGGGCTCGCCGCAGGTCCTCGCTGATCTCTGCTGAAAGAAAGGCACTCTGGAGGTTAAAGTGGGCTGGGAGAGCTGGGGAGGTGTTTGCTCCCTTCCCCCAGCACTGTTCAGGACATCTCAGGGCAGATCTCCCCTTCTCTGGGGAAAATCCCCGACCACAGTCCCCCAAGACTCTGCGAGATTTCTCCTTGGCAGGTTTGGGACAAAGCAGAGCAAAGGCTTCACCAAACCAGAGCCAAGCACACTTGCCTGTGAGACCAGCACTGGTTTCCTCAGGCTCCTTTCAAGCTCCCCAGGCATTTCCCCCACCAGGAAACAACGAGATCAATACAAAGGAAGCAGAGGAAAAGCCTACCAGTACCCATGGGCTGCTCCGCTCCCTGCACGAGAGCCTGCAGGAGACCATTTTGTCTCAGAGCTGAGATCTAAGGGGACAGAGAGAAACGCAGCATTCATGCACAAGAACATTCCCCAAATCCTGAGCTCTTCCCTCAGCGAACCAAACCCGACCTCTGCTCATAGGCTGAGGACCGCTGGAAGGGCAGCTCGGTCTCAGCAGACCCCTTTGGGAGCATTTTTGTTGCATTACCAGCTCAGGTAACGGAAAGATCATTTTCGGTACCCTGAAATATCACTTTATACAGACTTAAATGGAGAAACAAAGTGATAAGGGGCGGGGGCTGCTGTTTGACCCCGAGGGGCGCTGCCCAGAGGCCGGGGCACGGCGGGGTGCCGCCTGGGGGGCGCAGCGAGGGGCG